GGGGTGTAGTGAGTTACCCATTTTATCAAAGGTTCAGGAGCACTATGAGTCATGTTTAACAATCTAACACTGTACCACCCACCCATCATCATGGGACATCTAAAAGTTTTAGTGCAATCCGAAGTTGCCTTTGAGTTGCTTGACCAGGAAGAGAGAAAGGGCATCCAGCTTAGCAGTGGAGGCAGTGGCATGCAAAAATGAAGAGTAGAAAATGGACGGGAGGGAGAACTAGAAGACGAGCTACCACTGCTGCTTACCCAACTCACCTGCATTTCCCAAGAACTTCTGAGTTTCTCTATCCACGTGAATTTTCTCAAGTGTGTGTATTTGTCATTACAATAAAGTTTATATTAAATCAGGATTGTTCCATTTAATATTAGTGTTTTAGATAACTTTGGAGAAAACACAGAATATATATTAAGCTCTATGTACATCACTCCAACTTTTCCCCCCAATTTAGAGTGTGTGTGTTATCAGGCCTATTTCAAGTTATGCTGACAAAGCAGCTGGTCATCAGGTGACCTCATTGAAGACNCATAACTAAAGAAAGTGGTTTTGTTTCCCGAACTTCCTGGTTTCTAAATGTACATGCAAAAAATAAAACGGGCATTTTTATTAAGTAGATCATAATTTTTTTTCTATTTTCACTTCTTTTATTTCCCTTATTTAAATTTTTATTTTCTAATTTTTTAAAAATTTTAGTTCTTATTTAGTTTTTTAATTTTTTAGCAAAGGCTTTAACTAAACCAAATTCAAATCCACAATAACAACTTTCTCTGGATATAGATGTGTTGTTCCCATTGATGGAGAGAGAAGACAATTTGCACTTATATTACAAAGGATTTTTTTCCCTATACTGTTATTTACTCGGGGTAGAAGAACTTGTTCACTTTAATTTTTTGTTGGGACAGAGTGTGCAGATGGGATTTAAAGCTTGAAGCACAGTTTGGTAATAGACAGGTTTTAATTCCCCAAGGTTAGGGACTGAACCCCAGCTCTCAGCACTAGCCACTGTGAGGCTTTCCATGAGATGAGCACTGAAGAATGCCTGTTGGTGACACTGGCAATAAGTCAAAAGGAAATTAATTCTGACATCGTTCTTCCCCCGGCTGCCCAACCTCAGGGCTGACAGTTTTAACTTCAACCAGAACAGGCATAAGAAAAAGGCAACGGGAAGAAGTATACTCCAAACATGTAGACACTTACTTCCCAGAATTAGCTCCTTTCATGTGNAATCTTTTAAATGGAGCTTGGAGTTGATGACCCACAGGTCTTTATCACATCCACATCTTCACCCATGTATAAGGCTTCTTGCACTACGGACCCGAATCAGTGGCATTATAGAAAGCCACACTATAGCTGGGGGCAGCATGGCTTTCAGGCCTGGTCTGCTTCATTCCTGGCCACTCTGGTAAAGCTAGAGGCCAGACAGAGAAGGGACTATCAAGATCAGGCCATTTAGATAGCTTCTGCTGCTCCCTATCCTCCCCATCCCTCTACAATCCCCTCTCTCCAGAAAATAGCTGGCACATAATTCTGTAGCCAAGCAGGGAAGGGAAAGGAAAGAACAGCATTAGTAACTACGATTTCTGTAACACCTACTATGTGCCAAGCATTGAATTAATGGCTTATATATGTGATCTGTTAATCTTTATAATAACTCCAGGATGCAAGCATTGTCACCCTTAATATATAAATGAGGAAAATACTGTTGATACTTGAGTAATAAATCAAAGGTTTGGGACCATCACTGATCTTTCTAACCCAAGAAGAAAGGGCCACCTTTGCACACAAGTCCTTTCCCAACTCTAATCCCTGATAGTACCACCTTTGTTGCTTTGGAAGGTGAGCCACCACTGTATTTCTGAAATCCCCTTCATGCTTGCATTGGGCCTCATGAAGGTCAAAACTCCTGTAAAACACTCACCACCACCACCC